CAGGGGGTTACAAGGGCTTACAGGGGGTTACAAGGGGTTATAAGGGGATACAGGGGGTTACAAGGGGTTACAAGGGGTTACAAAGGGTTACAAGGGGTTACAAGGGGTGACAGGGGGTGACAAGGGGTTACAGGGGGTTGAAAAGGATTATAGAAACTTTTTTCTAACTAGAACGTTCCCAGATACTTTTTCTTGGTCTATTTTGCATAAAAATCAAAGTTGAAGAAATCTCAAATTTTTGACAAAAACCATGGACTAACCCCTTTGGAAAAATTCTAATTTTGCGTTTTTCTTAAACAGTTGTTTTTATAGTCTTTAAAGGCTTCTTTTTTATCTAGAACTTCAGCAAACACTTTTTCTCGATCTATTTTTGATAAACACAAGAGATGAAAAAACTTTAACTTTTTGACCAAAATCATGGACTATCCCCTTTGCAAAAATGCCAATTTTGCCTTCTTTTTAAATCCATGTTTATATTCTCTAGAAAGGCTTGTTTTCTAACGAGAACGTCACTAAATACTTTTTCTGGGTGTATTTTGCATAAAACGAAACGTTTACAAAATTTCAAATTTTTGACCAAAACCATGGACTAACCCTTTTGGAAAAATTCGAATTTTGTGGGTTTTTGAAACCAATGTTTTCGTCGTTCAGAAAGGCTTGTTTGCTATATGAAACGTCGAAAATTTTTTTTTGGTGATTTATTTTCACGATCTATGACATGGGAATACAGGGGGTTACAAGGGGATACAGGGGGCTACAAAGAATTTTAGAAACTTTTTTCTAACTAGAACGTTCCCAGATACTTTTTCTTGGTCCATTTTGCATAAAAATCAAAGTTGAAGAAATCTCAAATTTTTGACCAAAGCCTTTTGAAACGGCTTGTCAGCCCCAGTAACCCCTTGTCACCCCGTGTTACCTCTTATAACCCCCTGTAATCCCTTGTAACGGAACGTACTGTATCCCCTTGTAACCCTTTGTAAGCCCTTTGAACCCCTGTAATGCCTTGTAACCTCTAGTAACCCTCTCCAACTTTTTGTAACCCCTGTAACCCCTATGTCACCCCCTTTTAACGCCCTGTAATCCCTTGTAATCCCCTGTTATCCCCTGTAACCCCTTGTCACCCCGTGTAACCCCTTGTGATCCCCTGTAATCCATTGTAACCTCTTGTAACCCTCTGCAACCCCTTGTAACCCTCTGTAACCCCTTGTCATCCCCTGTAAACCTTTGTAACCCTTTGTAACCCCTTGTAACCCCCTGTAACCCCTTGTCACCACCAGTAACCCCTTGTCACTCCGTGTAACCCCTTATAACCCCCCGGTAATTCCTTGTAACGTAACGTAACGTATCCCCTTGTAACCCTTTGTAAGCCCTTGTAACCCCTATAATCCGTGGTAACCTCTTGTAACCCTCTCTAACCCCTTGTAACCCCCTGTAACCCCTATGTCACCCCCTGCAACCCCTTGTAACCCCCTGTAATCCCTTGTAACCTCCTGTCACCACCTGTAACCCCTTGTCACCCCTTGTAATCCCTTTGTAACCCCCGTATCCCCTTGAAAGATTTTGAAAGCTCTTGTAACCCTGTAATTCCTTGTAACCTCTTGTAACCCCTGTAACCCCTTGTAACCCTCTGTATCCCCTTGCCATCCCCGGTAACTCTTTGTAACCCCTTGAAACCTCTTGTAACTGCCTGTAACTCCTTGTAACCCCTTGTCATCCCCTGTAACCCTTTGTAACCCCCTGTAATTCCTTGTAACCCCCTGTAACGCCCTGTAACCCTTTGTAACTCCTTGTAACCCTCTGTAATCCCTTGTAACCTTGTCACCCCCTGTAACCTTTTGTAACCCTTTGTAACCTCTTGTAACCCCCTGTAACCCCCTGTTATTTCTTGTAACCTCTTGTAACCCCCTGTAACCCCTTGTCTCCAACTGTTACCCCTTGTAAGGTAAGGTAAGGTAACTTTATTTAAACACGGTATTTCCTTCAGGTACATTTACATTCAAATATAGAAAGAGTAACTTCCTAACTAATCTAAAATCTAAGATAAAAACTAAAATAATAAAGATGAAAAGAAAACACCTGGTTTTCAAGGAGGCCGTGTTAAAAAACAGAATATAGCTAAGTTATTTGTCAATCGAAATTTATGTCTCTAAAGTTTCCCTTAAACATACTAGGGGATGTCAATTGCCGCACCTCCAGAGTCAAGCTGTTCCATAACACACTCCCGCTGTTAGAAAGACTTCTTTTGTAAAATTCAGTACGTGGTTGTGAAAAAGCAAGCTTGTATTCATTCTCTCTAAGGTTATAACTAGTTAAATCGCAGCAACGAACAAAACGCAAAGTCAGATACTCTGGAGCTGTGTTATTTACAATGCTATGTATCATTGTTGCTTTACTAACTGCGCGCTGATGGACAAATTTCGACCACTTTAAATTTTGAAATAATTCACTAGTATTGCATTCATAATTAGAGAAAATCAGAACGCGAGCGGCGCGATTTTTCAATTTCTGCAATTTAGAAGATAGGTTCTTAGAACAGTTTCCCCATACTACATTACAGTAATCAAAGTGTGGCTGTACCAGTGAACTGTATACGTTAAGTAGAATCTCAAAAGGAAGAAAATACCTAATACGCTTAATCGCACTTATGCCAGAAGTAATCTTCTTACAGATTTGTTAATATGACACTCCAAAGAAAGATTCTTGAAGTCGAAACGTGTTTAATCGGAAACTGGTTAATTTCAATTATGGGATTCCTTTCTAGCGTTGACAGTCTTTGCCTAGACCCAATTAATAAAACTTCTGTCATAGTCTTGTTTAGTGTAGGTTTGTTCGCCTCAAGCCATATACGAATTCTATGTAAATGTATGTTAACGCAACGCTCTATTTCTTCGACATCACTGCTCGCATAGGTGATACTAGTGTCGTCAGCATACATTCTAGGTTGCGAATGCATGAGGCAATTCGGAAGGTCATTTATAGATATTAAAAACAAAAGTGGCCCCAAAATCGTTCCCTGCGGGACACCACAGGTTAGGTACGATTCAGATGACTTGTTGCAGTTAACGAGACACGTTTGCATACGATTTCTAAAATAAGTACAGACCCATTGATTAGCAGGATCACGGATACCATATGCGTGAAGTTTTAAAAGAAGAATATCATGGTTTACCATGTCGAAAGCCATTTTAAGTTCTAAGAAGACAACTGCATTGACAACGCCGCGGTCGACGTTCAAATACCAGCTATCTGTGGCTTCGATCAATGCAGTAACTGTGGAGTGGAGTGTGCGAAAACCACATTGGTAACAACAGAGAAGTTTGTTTTCGGTTAGATAACGACATAGCTGATCATAAAAAATCCGCTCGAAAACTTTAGCCACCGCAGGAATGATCGAGATCGGCCGGTAATTTGAGGGATCGCTTCTATTGCCACATTTCTTGGAGAGAGGAGTGATCCTAGCGCTCTTCCATTCATCGGGAAAAATACTTGTTTCAATCGATCGATTGAAAATGAGTGCTAGAGAGTCGGAAATTAGATCGAAGCATTCTCTCAGAAGTCTGGCTGAAACTGTATCAAGTCCAGTGGCTTTCCTCATGCGTAATTTACGTAAGTGAAACGAAACCAGAGATCGACCTATTTGTTGAAACCTAAAGCTGCACGAGATAGATTGATTGACAAATTCATCGAAACAAGTATCGGTGTATTCAACATTCTCGGACAGCTTGGAACCGATTTCGGCAAAGAATTTATTAAAACCTTCCCCAATAGACCTAGTCGGCTAACTCAATGTTGTACCCAATTCAAATCTCCCGGGGATAATATTCTTTGTGTATTGTATTTGCATTATAATGTGGCATTCACATTTAAATGATATGGAAATTCCTGAAACAAAACGTTTTACTCCCAAAGGGTTTGAATTGGGTACAACAATGAGTTAGCCGTAACTGTAACAATGAGTTAGTATTTCTTGCCCTCAAATTCCAGTTCATTTGTAATCGCTTGTAACCTCTTGTAACCCCCTGTAATCCCTTGTAACCCCCTGTAACCCCTTGTATCCTCCTGTAATCCCTTGTAACCCCCTGCAATCCCTTAAACCCCCCTGTAATCCCTTCTAACCTCTTGTAACCCCTTGTAACCCCTTGTAACCTCCTGTAACCGCTTGTAACCCCTTGTAACTCCCCGTAACCCTTTGTAATCCCCTGTAACCCCTTGTAATAATAATTGGTTTACTAACTTAGAACAAACGCCACTGAATCTTAGCCAACAGTTACCAGCACCGTACAAACGACTTATTGACGAGATCAAGCAAAAATTAATTACTACGAGAGAACGACTGGAGAACTGACAATTTGACTAACAATAGACGACTGTTTAACTGTGACAATAGACGGATCGAAACGCACCAATTACTGATTGCTAGTCTTCATAGCCAATAACATCACGGCTTAACTGACAGACGACCAATAACATCGCCACGTAATTGACCAATCAGATCAATAACCAGAGTATAATACCATCAACTGACGTGATACAACTCACTTTGACTCTGAAGATGACTACCGCACAGGTTGTCCACAAAGTGGTTCTTCGTCTACCCAATTCCTGATCGAAATAAATGTTGGTTTTTGGGCAGAGAGGAAAACCGGAGCACCCGGAGAAAAACCTCTCGGAGCAAAGGAGAGAACCAACAACAAACTCAACCCACATAACCCTAATCCTAAATCCTAAACCGTAACACTAACCCTCTGTAACCCCTTGAAACCTCCTTTAATCCCATGCGACCGCCTGTAATCCCTTGCAACCCCTCAGCCTCCTGCCTACCCGCTGTAACTCCCTGTAATCCCTTGTGACCCCCTGTAACCCCTCAGCCTCCTGTAACCAGCTGGAACCGCCTGGAACCCCCAACCCTTCTTGCACGCGAATAAATAATTCATTTTATTTCTACGGCTTCGAACCTAGCCTTGATTTGAAACAGAGGCTTAGGGCGGCACGGAAATGGCCTATTTAGTACCTCGAGCCTTCGTCTCATACTTCACATGTTCAGGCTTGAGCGAACGCTGGCCAGGGAGGCGGAGATGCTGTGTACAAGGGTGAATGCCATCCTTTCCTAACTGAAAGAGGACCACAGTGTAAGGTCGAGTTCAAGTGCGACTCGTTTTTGGTTAGCCTAGATTTTGAGTTAGGGGGCTACAGTAAGACTCCGCGACTACTAAGAACCTGAAGAACCCGTTAGGCTAAAATTTACCGGTTAAGTCCCCTCTATATAACAACCTGTTCAGCCTAAAATTTGAAATAGGTTCTTATTTTCTAAAATCTACGAAAAAATTCTGTAGACTTAAGCAAAGAAGATAAGTCAACATTCTGCGCGATGAATATTGACTGTGATAGAAACATAGAGCCTCAGTCACCCTTGATACACTTGAGACTTTTAATAGATTCGAGGACGAAAAACGGCTGCGAGGAGGAAATTTGTCTGAAAGTTTTTTTTATGCACCATGTTCTAAGAAAATAGACAACAGAGAAAGCTCCATTATACTTTTCCAAAAGAAAAGTTCGCGTGGTTGTTTTTGTTGAAGGAAACTAATTACGCCCTCTACTGACGGCAAAATGATAAAACTTCTAACATTTGATAACTATTTTCCGCCACTTCGACATTCTCGACGCTTTTGAAACTCCCGCAGTAGAATGACAAAAGCTATCGCGTTTTCCCGCTGAAATGACGCTGGTGCAATCGCGCACTAATTAGTACTAGGAAAATCTTATCCTCGTAGTATTCCCTGTCTTGGAATCTCAAGGTCTCTGCTGCGAACGTGATCAAAACATTCCGGTACTCAAATCTAAAATGGATATTTTCATACTTCGGGATTCTCACAGTATATCAAGCGTTTGTACTAGTCTTGTGGTCAAGACAAAGTCAATTTTAGTAACTAAAATATCTGTACACAAGCGACACAACAATATAGGACAAAAAGAATGCTGTTTTACAACCAGGTAGTGTTTTGCTAGGTAATACGTTTGTCAAGGTGTACACGCTGAAAAATTCCCCGCTAGCGGAGGCCTCTTTTCCCTGGTATTCTAAGCTCTGTACACAGGGAAACATAAAAACAGATTAAAGCAAGCCCAAGACGCTCTGCTGCACATGACGAATAGTATTCGTCCCAAGCAGGTAAGATCATCTAATCAAAGTGTTAAGCAAACTTTAATAATATTACTGTTCGTTGTTTTGCACTAAGGTCTAGACAATGGTAATTTTAATTGAAATATCCACAAACAACTGACAAACGACTGAGATATTGCAAGACATTACACGTGGCCAACCACAGAAACTTCCATCCCCCAAGCGGTTCTAAGCTCTTGACCTAGAACTTCATCCAAATAGTACTTTGTTTTTTGTCGTGAAGAAAGGGAATCCTATTCATCCCACACTAGTATTTTTATATTGCCTTTGGGCGGAGAGGATGTGAAAGATGGTGTTTATTTCATTGCAAAATGCATTGTCTAAAAATAAACAGCTTGACCCGGAACTTTGCCTTGTATGAAGGTGAAATTTTAACAGTTGTTTTGCAGTATTCAAGCTTCAGAGGCTACAGACACGCAAGCTTTAAAAGTTTGATTACCGTAAATCCTCTAATAAGCCCCCTTTTCAGTAGAAGAAAGTTAGTAAGCTCCCCCCTTCCCCCCCTTATTCTATTTTATTAGCTCCGCCAAAAAAAAAACAAACAAACCAACAAACAGAAAGAAAGAACGTTGGCATGGACACCGCAACAGCTGTGGAGAATTACAGCAGGCGAGGATACTAATAAAAAAAAAAACAAGAAATATTAAAAAAGACAGCGACACGAGAAAAACTACAGCTACATACAACAAGCTATTGGACCAGACAAGGGACGAGTATGAACGAACGTGTGTCTTCACAATCATAAGAAACAGCTAACGCGGACTCATAGTAATTAAAAATAACCGATTTAAAGGAAGCTAAGGTTGATGAGCTCAAATCTAGTTCATCCGCTAAACAATTCCAAATTCTACTAGTTCTAATGTGAAAGGATTTCTGGTACGTAGTAGTTTACATTTCTTAATTATGTATTTATTAACATTGCTGGTTGAGGATCTAGGGCAGAGGAGTTCACGTTAACAAGACCGTGTGTCAATTTTAAAAAAAAAAAGTTTAGATCTAAAAGTTCATGCCAGTAAAAAATAGGTATTAGGTTTAGAGTTTGTAAACGAGGCTTAAAACTTATATTAGAAGAATAAGGCAGTTTTAAGAAAAACTTAGTCGCGCTTCTTTGGATACGATCTAGCTTGACAATGAGCTCGATGGACTGCGGGGCCCAAATTTGGGTGGCATATCCCAAATGTGGCCTAACTAGGGCTAGGTATAGCGTTCGTTTTACTTCGGTTCTAAGTATGAACCTCGTGTTCCTCTTTAAGTATCCAAGTAGTTTAGTAGCACGCGAAGAAAGAAAGAAAGAAAGAAAGAAAGAAAAAAAGAAAAAAAGAAAAAAAGAAAGAACATAGACAACCCAGAAAGCTCAATTATACTTTTCCAACAGAAACGTTAGCATGGTTATTTTCACTGAAGGAGATTATACCCTCTATTGACGGCAAAATGACAAAACTTCTATCATTTGATAACTATTTTCCGCCACTTCGACATTCTCGACGCTTTTGTAAATCCCGTAGTAGAATGACAAAAGCTATCGCGTTTTCGCGCTGAAATGACGCTGGTGCAATGGCGCACTACTTAGTACCAAGAAAATCTTGTCCTCGTAGTATTCCTTGTCTTGGAATCTCAAGGTCTCTGCTGCGAACGTGATCAAAACATTCCGGTACTCAAATCTAAAATGGATATTTTCATACTTCGGGATCCTCACAGTATATCAAGCGTTTGTACTAGTCTTGTGGTAACTGAAATATCTATAAACAAGCAACACAACAATATAGGACAAAAAGAATGCTGTTTTACAATCAGATAGTGTTTTACCACGAAATACGTTTGTCAAGGCGTACACGCTGAAAAATTCCCCGCTAGCCGAGGCCTCTTTTCCCTGAGATTGATTCGAGGCTCTGTTAGCAGGGAACAAGAGCGGATCCAGGTTTTTTTTAGGAGGGGGTACACCACTAAAGAATGGCGTAACTGACTGGTGACGTAAAGAAATGTTAATACAGAATACCAGTTGCGTTAGAAAGCCGCAGGTCATCTCAGGGGGGGATCACCCCTTGCACCTTCCCCCTAGATCTGCCCTTGGGAAGTCTAAAAACCTATTAAAACAAGCCCAAGAAGCTCTGCCGCACATGACAAACAGTATTCGATCGGCTCGAGCAGGTAAGATCGTCTAATCAATGTGTTAACCAAACTTACTATTGTGAAAAGTAGGTTGAGTTTGATCGTCCGGGTGAAAGTAGTCCTGAATAGGACTGTTGTTGTTGAAAGTGACTGACGTTTCGACAGCCTGTGCGGTCAGTTCTCCAGTCGTTCTCTCGTAGTTAGTTTTGCTTGATAAAACTTAATATTAATGTTCGTTGTTTTGCACTAAGGTCTAGACAATAGTACTTTTAATTGAAATATCCACAAACAACTAAGATATTGCAAGACATTACACTGCAACCACAGAAACCTCCATCCCCCAAGCTGTTCCCGGCTCTTGACCTAGAACTTCATCCAAAAAGTATTTTGCTTTTTGTCGTGAAAAAAGTGTATTCGATTCATCCCATGCCACACTAGTATTTTTATATTGCCTTTGGAGGGAGAGCATGTGAAAGACGGTGTTTATTTTCAAAATTCATTGCCCAAAAATAAACAGCTTGACCCGGAACTTTGCCTTAAATGAAGGTTAAATTTTAACAGTTGTTTTGCAGTAGTCGAGCCTCATGAAATTAACGCGAATCGTTAACATTCGCGTTAATTTAGTTGAGCGTTAATTTCCGCGACGTTAAATAAGTGCAGCGTTAATTTCCGCGCTCTTAATTTCCAGTATTTTAACCCCAATTTTGGAACCTGCCCAGACATTCTTGACATCTAAAAAACATTAACTACAAAATTTCTTTCTTTCCATTTACCCTTTATTTTAAAGCTAAGGCGCAGGTTTACAATATTTCGAGTTCATCTTCAGCGTTGTTGCTGTCAGAAGTGATGTCGGCTCAGTTTTTTTCAGTTTTGGATTTTTTTGCATCCAGTGTTGAAATAAATTTGTCCAACTGTGTCTCAATCGCGTTAATTTCCTTTATTATGAAATTCTACCCCATCTTTCGCGTCAATTTTCTTCATTCGAAAGTCGTTTTCCATTAAATTCGCGTTAATTTGAGTCGCGTTAATTTCCAATACCTTAATTTCATGGAGCGTTAATTTCCTATAATAAGGTATACGGGTAGGCTCCGCCCGAAGGTCCAAATATTTTATCCTTTTCTATTATACCATTTTTGACAGACAAGATACCTCTTTCGTATACCTTTTGTTGACAAATGGTATTCCTTTCACAAACTTAGTCTAGAACTTTGCATCCGTCTTAACTACTGTAAATTTGAATAAATCACAAAATCTGAAAGTTTTCTCGCCTTTTCTCACAGCCATAAAATGCATCTGTTAGCCCTTTGGGTCTTGTTTATCGACCGAAACGACAGATTTCCCTACCCTTTCATTATACTTCAAGAAGTAAAATCGCTACCCTTTCCGGAAGCCTGATAATGGTACTCCTTTCGGACGGAGCCTCCTTGTACCAGCCATTATTATTCCCCGGGGGGAGATCGCCACATTGTGATCTACGCGAAACCAAGCATGAAAAATTCGATCAATTCTATTCCTGAGTCATCCTGAGGCGGTCAGCATTCAAAAGTTCTTATTGTAATTCTTTAGTGTGCTTTAAAACATATCAGTATCAGTAAGAACAGAGTAACATTAACTATTGAAGCGAAAAATTAACAGTTTTTTGCGCTGAGTCAAGCAGTTCATCCTTTTTGTCCCACAGTGTGTGTTAAATCTTGAATACACTTTTGGAGATCGATATTGAAGGTCTTTGTTGTTCGTAACTGGATTGCAGGGTCCGTGCAACTCATCGCAAACCTTAAAGGTCACGAAATTTAGGAATGTCCTTTCCCCGACTTGAAAAGTCGTGTAATTCAATTGTCGAACCTGGATAGTCATAGACTCCCACGCAGACGTTCTTAGTTCGTGGGAAAGAAACACGTGACGAAGAATCAACAACGTCTGCTTAGGAGGCAAACAAAGCCATGGAAAAATATAGTTATTCTTGAAAGATTTATAGTTACAACAGATTTAAAAGCAAGGACAATATAAAATAGAAACTAACAATTAATCAGAGCGAACAGCAGACAATCTCGTAAACATGAGAGTTTGTGTCTGACTTAGGTAAAAAGATTCCCAAAAACAAAAAAAGTTTTGAAAATTTTTAAAGTGACAACTAAACCTTAGGTCTTAGAAAACCTAAAATGGTTTTTAAAAAGTCACGAAATGTCAAAGCCTGTGATTTGGGTGACTAAGTTGACTAAGGTCATTTGGGAGACTTGGGTAGCTGGGGTGACTAGGGTGATTTCGGTGACTAAGTGACTTGGTTGACTAGGCTGACTTGGGTCACTAGGGTGACTTGGGTGATTTGGGTGACTAGGGTGACTTGGGAGACTAGGGTGGCTTGGGTGACTGGGGCGACTTGGGAAACTAAGGTGACTGTTGACTAGGGTGACTTGGGTGATTAGAGTGACTTAAGGGTGATTAGAGTGACTTAAGGGTGATTAGGGTGACTTGGTTGACTTCGATGACTAGGGTGACTAAGTCATGACTAGTGTGACTGGGGTGACATGAGTGACTAGGGTTACTTGCATGACTAGGATGGCTTGGATGACTAGGGTGACTAGGGTGATTAGGGTGACTGGTGTGACTTACCTGGCTAGGGTGATTTGGGTGACTACAATGTCTTGGGTGACTAGGTTGACTTGGGTCACTCGGGTGACTAGGGTGACTTGGGTGACTAGGTTGACTAGGATGACTTGGGAGACTTGCATAGCTGGGGTGACTTGGGTGACTACGGTGTCTTGGCTGACTAGGGTGACAGAAGTGACCAGAGTGACTTGGGTGACGGTGATTTG